CTACTCAAATATTTTACGTTTTTGATACTAAATTAACATCTGAAGTATAATTTTTTATTGTTTTTATATTTTTCAATATATTTATTTTGTTTGTACAAAATAAAAAAATAATTTTTAATGATACAATAGTCTTCGTTAGGCTTAACATCGACGAAAATTCAACGCGAAGCGACACGCAACGGAGAAAAATTTCAACACGGGATAAATTAATATATTTTTTCATACATAATTGGTTATCCGAAAAATAAGTTATCCAAACAACCCCAGTCCCCAATTGATTCAGATAAACGACGCTCTACTGTATATGGATACTGATATACCTGTTTTAGCATATACACTGCTGGCCAAGTAAAATGCAACACCTGCAATATCTAGATGCCTATATGTTGTGGCATTTTACTTGGCCAGCAGTATATTTGAGCTTACTAACTTGATAGTGAATCACAGGTAATTGCAAATTAAAATATAATGTATAATCTGGTATATGAGTTTTAAATAATGCATTTACATCTGCATAATAATTTAATATTGGATATTGTATAAAGGGTATTAGATTTTGTCTCAACATGTCTAAAATCAATTGAATAGAGATGTTACCAGTAGTAAAGACCTGAAGCGATCATTAAACATATATATATGTATATATATAATTTTCAATTTCAACAATATTTCTGTGATATTTTCTATAACTTTTCCCCCTGAAAATTTCATTGAATCCTATTCTTAAGAGAAGAAATTATTGAAACAATTATCTTCAAATTTATCTTATTGCTGATAAGTCTTATTTGATTTATGTCAAATTTAAATTTCATTTTTCATGCATAATTTCTCTATTCTTTTTCTGGTTGTATGTCTAACTTCTGATTCCATTATTCCATTTATCAAAGTCAAAGAAACTAAATTTTAAACTTATCTACACTTAGTCTAGCTTAAATTTTTGCTATTTTTCATTTAGATACATTCTAAATGAATATCTAAACTGTATCTTGACATTCTCTTTTTAGAGATGTAACTGAAACCTTTTATCTTTATACTACTAACTATTGTTTTGCTTATTTTAGCTCAGCCTTTTCTTTATTTTGAAGATTAAGTTTATTTTTAAGTGATTGTTTCCTTCATTAGTTTTAAAATAATCATTTCAGTAAATATAAAATTTTTAAAATAAAAAAAGAATAATAATTATGTCAAATGGTTTATTTTTTAATTTCTAACAAATTACACATTTACTCAAAGCCAAGGTATGTATTTTTGTTCAAATTATTACATATTTTCTTTCTATTCAATCTGTCATAATAGACATATACTATTCTGAAAGTTTTCCCAAATACCTTTCTTTAGATAAAACTGATTAGATAAAATTCTTTTGAAATATTCTTTAGATTTACATATTCCAAATATCTAGTTACAGGTATTTTGTGGTTGAATAATAATCATTTTGTATGTGTTGTTCAACATTGTTGACTGAGACCATTATAATTTTGACAAATTATCTATTTGATATCATAAATTCTGCCAAGTTCTTTTCATTTTATTTGATAGATATTTAATTTTCAATTAACCTGACTACTTTTAATAATTTTATTTATTTGTTATGATATCTTATAAATGTTTATAATAGCTGTTTATTTCCAAATAATTTTCTGATTTGCATTCTTTTTAACATAGTTGTCATTTAAAACATGTTTTAAATTATCGTTATCTTGACATTATTATTTTTTTTTTTAGAGATGTAACTGATACCTATTTGATACCAATATATCAGCATATTGGAATCAGTTAATTTTACAAACTGATGTCTGATCTTTATTTTCTTTTCTTGATAGTAGTTATCATCATCTTGATAGTAGTTATCATATTTATTGGATTGATATCAGTAAGCATCTCTACTTTTTTTTTATTGGACTATATGATTAGTTTATTTTATGGATGATTAATTATATTTTGACTTTTTAAAGTACAAATATGTTTGTAAATATTCTTAGATATTTATTTGTAGATTATTCTTAATTTAATTTTTGCTTTTTAATTCTAGTATTTGGGATTCTGTACTTTTTAAATTAATAAAAACTAATGTTATAATCTTATCGATATCATTATGATTTTCCATGTAGAATACATTGAATGTTAACCATAAAATGCTTAAAACAAAATGTGCATTTTACATTTTAAACAATGAATTATAAAAAAAAAACAACCAAATAACTCTTGTATTCACTTATTCATAAAAACTACTTCTTTAGAGTTTAAAACTTTAATAATGAAAATATACAGTTGTGGAAGGCAAACTAGACAGTTTTATGTGAAAGGAGGATGTATATTAACCATTTATCAAAAAATAATACATCTTTCTGAAGGTATCATTCTTAATGACTGTGTAACTTTTTATATTGACTGTTAGTATTATTCCTGAAGATGATTTTAGGAATACAAAAATGTTTAGATAAAAATATAAAGAGTAAAACAGCAGTTTTTATGAATAGAGTTTCAATTATAAGAACTTAAAAATATTAAAAATAAAGGAAAACTAATTTTAATATGTAAAATTCTTATGTTTAAATTGAATTGTTTCCAGATAAACAAATAGAAATTCTCTCCGCAGGGAGAAGGAGAGGATTAAGGCTTAACCTGAAGAATGACTTCTACTGTAGTATTTTAGATGAGATTTTTTTGTTTTCAACTATGTTTAGTCTTCATTGAGTACTTAGGTGTATTAAATTGATAACATTTAAACATTGTTATAAATTTTTTTATATATTTCGATTTTCTAACCAAATGTTCGAACCGTTTTAAATTTGAATTTGTTATTGCATATTGGTTCGATTATAGAACAATTGTAAACATTCCAGAAAATTGATCAAATTGAAAATAGTTCATTTTATTCTCAGCAATTCTCAGCAGTAGTTGTTATATAACAATTACTATGGTTGTTGAAATACCAAATATAAATGGGGTTTTCTTCAAAATCTGCATGGACGAAGTCATGGGTAACAGTTAGTACAATATATTAGGATTATGATCATTACAAATTAATAATGGTTTTCAGTATTTCATATTATAAATTGTAAAATTCAGTATGTTTTTTGTAGTAAATTAAAATAGATGCTAAAACAAACATATTTTAATTATTATGTTACGCATCACACTAAAATGTTATAACTTTTGTTTTACAAACTTTTATCAGAGCCTACAATAGAAAATTTTCTGCAGTTTTTTATATTTAGAGGTAATTCATGACATCTAATAATAGAATGTTTTATTCAAAGTTCAAAATATTTCTATTGTATAGGAAAAAAACTAGTGAAAACTATGTTAAGTATTGTCTTCACTTAATTTTTTGAATAGTCTTATTGAATTTTAATTTACACATTGTATTTACACATTTTACATAAGTTCAATGAAGTATTTCTTGCTCTACATAAGTAACAACTTATCGAATATTATACAAACTTTTCCCCTTTTATAAATTTTTACCTTTCATATTATACAGTTATGTATTGTACATGTATTAGGATAATTTGTTTTAATCTCATTTCTTGCATATTTTGGCTGCATAGAATTCTGAACTATTAGTATAATGCTAAACTGAGAATAAGAAATATGCAGAATTTTGTCAATTTATAACAAAAAAGAACAATGACAAAAAGTGTTCTATTAAAGATTATCAATCAATATGAACATGCTGTCAAATTTAACAAATGACAAAATTGCATATTTTTGTCTTTGGCAGTGTGAACAGAATAATAATGAGAGAAGTTGGATATTTTTCTTATACTGTTGTTTCAAATGATTAAAATTAGAATGGAAAGGAAAACCAAAATTAAGACCAAGATTCTGTGATACAAATAGTAATGGAGAAGACACTCAAGACATTAAAGGTAACATATTTTTAATTATTCAGATATATTCGTTAGAATGTAGCTGAATTAAACACAAATACAAAAAATTTTGGCAATATTTTTAATGTTTTAATTATTACACATTAATATTTTACCATGATCATAAATTTATGAACTTATAAAAAAATAACAATGATATTTTTAACTCAGTAAATTTATTCATAATAATTAAATTTATATATTTTTATAACTACTATTTATCAATTTATAAAAAACATTTTGGACTAAATTAAAAGAAAATTACTTTTAAAAGTTGTCATTTTATTGTGTCTATTAAATAAGATTTTATCATGAATTAAGTTAAAAACTAGACAACAGAACACAGATAGTCTACAAGTCAATAAATTGCTTCAAATTGTGAACATATTTTAATAATTGAGCCCCTCATTTTTGAAATTATTTAACTCCATAAAACTAGAAGTAGAGAAATTTATAATATATGTTGTTTAAATTTAAATAAACATTGTAGAATGCATGATATACGAAATTAGTTATATGAAAAATGTAAAAGTAATACAAAGGATACTATTGGAGTTAATCGATTTTGCATGTGAATGGCTCAATTGTTTAAATATATATAGTATTGCTTTATTGAATTTTGGACCCTACTATAATCTTTATTTTACAAATAATGGTTGTATAATATACAACCAACATTAGAATAAGAACAAAATTACTAAAAAATATAATTGAAAATTAAAAATACAATGTATTAATATGAGTAGGAATTCAAAATCTTTCATATTAAAACTTTGTTAAAAAAGTTAAGATATTAAATAAAGCTCAAGAACCATGAATTGACTACAAATATATTTTTAATTTCCAATAATTCTCTTATTATTGTGAATGAAAAGTGATTTATCTCCTAAAATTTATGATAAATGTTGGAATTCTTCATTATTTACACAAATGCTAAATGTCAGATAGATTCTGTAGATATTGTAAAATGTAATTCATCAAACTATGTGTCGCTCAACCAGAGATTTACTAATTTATAAGAAGTTCTTTTAAGATTTTGATTAAATAGTAAGAAAATTTAGGAACGTTTTATTATGTTTCAGATATAAAATTGAATATGTTTGTGGACAGATCTGGTATCTATATATTATTATATAGAATAAGAATATTTTGATTTTATTTATTGCATTAAAAATAATTTTATCAAGCATTGTCTGGTTTAAGTATCGATAACCATTTAAATTTTCGTGCCAATTTCAAACAAGTCATTTTTGCATATTTTTATATTAATATATACATATGTTAATTGTCATATCATATATGATAATGCAACCTCATAAAATTGCTTTTGCTTGATTTTAATTGACTAAAATGATTTTACTTAAATTATTGTTTTATTTTTAAAAATCTTATTTAGCACTTTATCCTCTGTTAAAAAATGATGTGTTGTGGACTAAGTTACAAACATCCTATTGTAACTCATGGATGAAAAGTAGTCCTCATACTAATCTTTTGGATAGTAAGTAATCTTCTTATTTACACATATTATTATTATTATATGCTTGTACTCGCTAATTACACATATTTACCAGTAACACCAATAGACAGTTTTTATATTTTTGTTTATTTTTAATTTATTTATTTCAGTATATTAAATAAATTAATAAAATAAAACAAGAAGAAAAAAATTTACAAAATTATAAGAAATGAAGCTTCAAACTTTTTATTTTGACTTTTACAATAAATTTTTTAGGTATTCTTATTGCTTAATCTATTGTAGTTAAGATAATTGTTCTTATTTTCACCTTTTTACCTACTGCAGACTTCTATTTAAGAAAACACGCATTCAAATGTATTCAGGATTGTTTTTTTCAAATTTAACCAGAGATAGTGAAGAATATTCTTTATACTCAATTTTTCTTTATTGACATTATATTTAATATCCCAAATCTTGAATACTTTCTAGTATTTGCCCATCTCTAATAAATTAAATTATATAAATTTCAAGAATTTTTAAACAAAAATCACTAGGAGAAAAATTTAAATTTTCAAATAAACATAATATGCTTTTTGTATATTTTCTGTATAACAATCTTTAATTAGTGTAATTTAAAATGTTAATGAAATTACTTTCTTTTACTCTGAAATTTGTTTAACAAACTTGTTTCAAAATATTAAAATTGAAGATAAATACAAAATAAAACATTTTGAGTCTGTTCAAGCCTTGAAATATAATTAAAATATTTACCAGAGGAATTTTGAACAATCTGAATATGCTACAGGTTGCACAATGGAGTAAGGTGCTTGTGTAATCTTTTCATCAACAGGAGGAAGGTAGTCACAAGATTGCAAATAGTGTGATGTGACACATATTTATAATATTCGGAGTTAGATCTGTAAATCACAATACCTTTCTTATGTTTCCTACATTCAATTTAATAAAAGAACAAACATTTTCAGTCACATTTAGGGGTCTTCAAGTTATTTAAGCCATTCAAATAACAAAATCACTTTTTGGTTTTTTAAAATGGAACGTTTCAAATACTACATGATGCCATTTAAAATTTAAAGATTACAGTTTAACATACAGTGGTACCTCAGGTTACGAACGCCCCAGCATACGAAATTTTCAGGATACGACATGAAATTCGAACATATTTTTGCTCCATGATACGAACAAAAACTCACCATACGACGTTACATTAGTTTGCATTTTTCATTTGTTTTTCTTATTACAGTTATTTTTTTAAATGTATTACTTGGCTTTAATTTGAGTATGTTTTTCGCGTTGGAACAAATTATTTGGTTTTACATGTAATCGTATGGGAAAAGATGATCCACCTTACGACATTTTCATGATACGATCTCAGTTTCAGAACGGATTAATTTCGTATCCTGAGGTACCACTGTATATATACACAATAAGTAGATATAAAAAACCACTAAAATTATATAAACAAAAAGAGTAGAAAAAGTTAACAAAATTATTATCAATTGATGTTACTTGTCTCCCATTTGGCAGAGGGTTACATAGCAGTGCTTGCCATGCTTGCAAAAGATTAAGGCTTTTCTTATTATTATTGATTCAAACACCTGTGAGCATTGCTCTAAAGATTTCAATAATTTCTATTGTTCTTAGCTTTTAGGTATAAAATATTGGGGACACTCTGGATCGCTGGCAAAATAAGCTAAAGTGATTGTGTAACTATCTTTATGGATATCCTACCTGTGTTCTTTTATTCTAGTTGTCATCTAGTGATCTCTTAGTAGATCTAATATATGCTAGATGTCTATTGAATCTGAAATCTACTAGATGTATAGTATACATTCCTGGTATATTTTTCATTTATATTATCTTTTCCTTTTGTTATTAATCTTAATAATGTTGAATTCAATTATATGCAATGTATATGTCTATATCTTTAAACAGTTTGGTCTTGTTTATCCTAGGGTCAAAATCTAGGATTAAGCATTTTTGCTCTGAAAGTTTATGCTGTTCTTGTTTGTCTAATCTATTTTTTATATTACATACTAAATTGGTAATTAGCCTTCTGCTCAAGCCATGTTGTACTGAAATCTTTTTAATGTGCTCAATCTCATGCAAAATATCATCTATGCAGGAACAATGGTTGTGAGCTCACCTAATTTGTGCCTGAAACTCAACTATTTTAAAGGTCTTACAATCACTATAGTTTACTGATATGAAGAAAGCTTGGGAATTGGGTTTGAGGTAAATTCACGTGACTATTCTATCCTGCTAAGTTTAATATCTTAGTCCAAGTAGTGGATCTTGTGTTTTTAGACTGGTCAAGACCTAATGTTAAACCATAATTGTTGCTATTAAACATTTGTAATAATTTTTCAATATTTTGCTTTGCATAAACTAAAAATATCATCAAGATATCTCAAGCATAACTGCACATTTGTTAGGAATTTGCCTAGGATATGACATTAAAGCATTTCATATAAATCACCAGAAAGAGGATTACTCGTCAGAATCTCATGGTTCTGTAAGCAAGCCTGATTTTTAAACATGAAAAAGGATGAGTAGCATACTAAATGCACTAACTGGAATTTGTTAGTGATAATTCTAGTATTATATTGAATAGGAAGTCCCATAATGCACAATGCATGGCCCAGCCTGAAGGGTACATTAAGACAAAGTCAAGTACTGTAAATGTAAGAAAGATGTGTTGTGATTTATTGTATGCTGTTCCAACTTTTATGAGAAATATGTTAGAATCTGTGTTTCATTTTCTGTCACTATTGTGTTGATATCTGAGGATGGGCTGAAAAGCCCAAAAGATGTTTTTAAATGATTACTTCTTGATCTCCAAGAAACAGATAACTGTACAAGATTAAGGAATTTAGAGAAATAAATGTGTGTGGATATTAGTATACTTTGTATGCCAAAGTTAAAGATATATAACAATACAAGTTAAAATTAATGATGATCATTTTTTCTAAAATATGTACATAATTTTAGATTAGGAACAATAAAATGTTTATTATTATAGTAAATATATAAACAAAAGACAATTATTGAAACTATTTTTGTCATTACTATATAAAGTATTATATAGTTAATAATTATTGTTCATTTTTAATGCATCTTTAGATGATCCTTGTACACTTTGTGTTATACCTTGTAAATTCAGTTCTTTTGTGATATTTGATTTTGGTAGACCTTTCATCTTGTCTGGAATCAGGATATTAGGATGGTAAGAATTTTTAATTCTTCATTTTGATTTTAATTTGAAAGTTTTAGTGAGAAATAAAAATTTACTTTATTGTTTAATATTTAATTAATAGGGACAGTGATCAAATGCCAAAAAGATGCCAACTTCAGAAAGCAGAAGGATTAGAGTGAGTCATTTTTCCTATTTATTGATTACAATTTTAATTTTTCATATTAAATTTTTATACAATTTTAATCAAAGATGACTCATCCACCAGTACTACCAATATTTTGAAAAATAAACAATTTTTAGGAACAATAAACAAAAAATCAATTTAATATTTATTAAATTTTAAATGATATATATAAGTATTCTTTAAATTCAAGAATATATTTAAAAGTTATAATTCTATAATAAAGCTATAAGCTAATTTATAAATAGACAAAAATATTTAATAGTCATAGTTAGAATTATTCATATAATATATGAATATCAATTGCTATTTCTAATAAAAATATTGATATAGTATCTCGAGAAAATTTACATAAAATAATGTCTAATTTAAATTTTAATACTATTTACAATAAAATATAATGTCAATCTCTAATAACTTTTCAGTCACCAATTTCTGTATTTTAAAAATGATATTTTTCTTTGCAAATAGTGGACCGTGGGAAACGGTGAGGATATTCATATGCAAAATGCAAGGTTCAAAAGATCCATTAAAACCTGGTAAAGTTGTTCAAATTTGTGTAATATTGATATGAATTTTAAATCTTATTCTTTTTCAGCATAACACTTTCTTATTTTTGATAATAATCATTTAATAATTACAGGTGAACCACAGGAATACCATGGTTTTAAAGAAACTTCTCAGTATTGGAAGCTTCTTATAAAAGATAACCACGGTGGTGATATTATTTCTTTACATAGCATTCATTTTTACGGTGTAGATCCATCTGTGATTGAATTTTTTGAAAATCTTGATATGGCGTATTGTTCAACAGCTTTCATTGAAAAGGTTTGTTCTTTTTGAAATTAAAAAAAGAAATGCATCCATTGAAATTTTTAATAGTTTTTATCTTCACTATTATTATTTTAAAATTTAATATAATGTACTTTACATGTTATATTTCATCATTTATTGATCAGTAGTCATGCTCTTTTAATGCTCTTTGAATAGAAATATGTTCATAAACACTATTTTCTATAATAAAAAAAACAAACAAATCATTAGTCACTTTTGATAATTTTAGTACATAATATATTATACTATTCTCAAACTGCACTTTCAAAAATAACTACACTTTACTAATCTTTAACATGCAGTCTATTTTATTAACATAATCTAAGAAAGATATTTATATGATATATATGTAAACCCACTGCAACAATTCCATCTTGAATAATCATTCTAAATGATTAATATTTGGTTTACAGCATCCAAACTCACTTTCAACTCCAAATAGTGGTGTTGATGTTCAATCCTAACACTGTATAAATGTGTAAAAATTTGAGAATGCATCCTACAAACACACTAGCCAGCAAACTAACTTGTTGATGATTATTTTATGCAGATAAATCAATTATAAAAAAAAGTGTTAATTTTGACATAAATGAAATTTATAACGAAAAATTTACATTGACAAGAAAAAATTCTCATAAAAAATTTTAAATTATTACACCTGTACAATACAATAAAAATAAGTACAAGTTACTTGTGTTTAATTTACTGTGAATTGACATGACTAAAAGAAAATATAAACATAATTATTATCCTAAATTACTCTAAACACATTAAAAATAAAAGTAATAATTTAAATTTTTTTTAGGGTTTTAATCGTAAGGAAGATTTAACTAAAATTACAACTGCCATAGTTAATGAATTAGTAAGTAAAAAAATTTTTTTTTATATTACATAATTTCTCTAAATTGAAGGTTGGCAATTGTCACCATCTTGTATCAAATTTAGTAATTAGAATGAAATTAATTTTCTCTGTGATATAAAACATATTCAGTTTGTATTTTATTAAATTTGGTTTACATCTGGTTAGATGTTTATTCTTTTTAAATGGTTTGAATTTATATATGTTACAGTCAAAACCCGTTTTTAGTTAGAACGCGTTTTAACTAGTTAAAACTAGTTTATGCTAAATGTCTTTGTTAGAACCCGTTTTGTCTAGTTAAAACTAGTTTTAACTCAAATTCATTTTTGACTAGCAGTAAATTATAGTTTTAACTAGACAAAACAAGTTTTGTCTAGTTAATGTACTGCTGTACATGTTTTGATTTTAGATAAAACTAGTTTTTACTTTTATCATTAGTTAAAACTAATTTTAGCTACATAAATATGTTTGGGGGAAATAAATAAAGTTATGTATAGTGATTCGGCAGAAGATGCCTAACATTTTGCTTATGAAGGAAATTACAGCGCTAATTTGGGTTTAGGAGCTCTCTAATGAAAATATCATATTCTGGAGTATGTTTTTCAAATAAAAGTTTGGAATTTATTAAAAAGAAATTGTATACTGTGTTTGCGATGATGACTTTTTCACTGTCTGGCATTTTAGGCATCTCACCCCAAGTATCCGGGTGAGATGCCAAATGCCATTAGGGTAAGATAACAAATATAATTGCATAAAATTAATTTTTGAATTTCTTAACCAAATTTCATTTATTGCATATGTAGTACAAAGTACTTCATAGAAAGTATAACAGCACAGTATAAATATTGTTAAATTTCCGCCCGTTCTAACGTGTTCTATAGCTAGCTGAAAGCTTTTTTCAGTCCAAAAACCTTTTTGAGAAGTTCTTATATAATTTTTATGCATATCCTGCAATAAAACGAGAAAACAAAAGTTTATTAAAAATAGGCATATTGGAAATCAATTAACAAAAAACAGGCATGTTACCCCAAGAAAAATGTGGCATATTTTCCATTTGTTGGGGTAAGATGCCTAGTAGAGTCACATGCTCCAGCATGTCTGATAGGAATTGGCAGAAGCTGACAATGGAAACTTTAGAACCTTAACTAAATCACACATAATTGTTTTTAGCAATTTTTAATAAATTCCATTTTAACTTTTAGTTTAAAATTATTCTAGAAACATTTCACAACAAAAGCTTCGTTCTTATCTAGCTTTTATTCTTCTCGGATGTAGAAAATGAACTAACAGTAGCCAACTACAGCTTTTTGCACTCAATATTGGCCCAATGATTCATCATACAAATACATGACAATATGTGATGTCATTGTTTGAAAATATTAAAAATTAGGCATCTTCCCCCGAATCACTCTATACGTTGCAGTCAAAACCAGTTTTTAGTTAGGATGCGTTTTAACTAGTTAAAACTAGTTTATACTGGATGTCTTTGTTAAAACCCGTTTTGTCTAGTTAAAACTAGAATCTACTGCTAGTCAAAAATGAATTTGAGTTAAAACTAGTTCTAAGTAGACGAAACGGGTTTTAACAAAGACAATTAGTGTAAACTAGTTTCAACTAGACAAAACGGGTTTTAACAAAGACATTCAGTATAAACTATTTTCAACTAGTTAAAACGCGTTCTAACTAAAAACGGGTTTTGACTGTAACATATACATATACAGGTATTCCTCATACAACACAGTTTCACTCTAACATGGTTCAAAAATTTGGGCAATTCTCCATACAAAATTTCACCACTTTTAAGTACAAACTCCATTATTCAATATTTATTTAAGTCAGCATGTGTGTTATCTCAAATTTGCTCATGGATTTTAGATTATTGAAAAGTTTCAATTTATTTTGTACCTTTCATCAGGTTTAATGAACTCCAATATGAAAGCTAGTTTTTTTTTTTTTTCAACAATTTTTTTTTTTTCCTTCCTTGTCTTATCAACCAGTTGTCATTGTCATTGCTTTCAGACTCTAACCTTTAAGACTGTCACTGTGTTTTGCTTTTATAGATTAATCTTTGTATTTAGTAAAGTTTATTTAAACATTTTTAGGTACATGTTATTAACCTTTTTTTAACTGTAGGTAAGTAATCATCTGTAAAAATGATGAACGAAATACAACAGTTTCTCAGTATTGGAACTGTTCCCAACCCAAGCAATTCAGTATTCAAACACAAATTCTGTAAAACTCACTCAGTCCTTGATTAAACAAATGTGACCTGCTAGAAAAAGTTTTCAATTGATAACATATTTTTATTTTGTCATACATAAAAAACTTTTTATGGTAAAAATTTTTAAAAAATGAAGATGTTGATATTTCTGATCAAGGTCAAAACTCAGAAGATTATGATATTTTCTTAAAAATAAACCACCGTTGTTTTACTAAAATTAATAATGATAATACAGTAATTGTAATAATGTGTTTTTTTAATTGTCATTGTTAATGAATTATTGATTGCTTTAATAAATATATTTCTCTCAGTAACAAAAAAGAATAGTATACTTTTGTTAACTTTTGGAACCTAACTCGATGATTTGTATTAGTCCTATGTTTAATATAGCATGGATTTAAATAACACGGCACTTTTTCAAAATGTAACTACTATGTTATATGAGGGATACCTGTATCATAAATATATATTCAACATTTAAAATTGTTATAGTATTAAAGTCAATATAAATTTTAAAAGTTTTTTGATAAGATTATATTATATCAAAATTCTATGGAAATATGACATTTGATTATAAATAAATATATATTATTATTAATATTATTAAATCTCACAAACTATGGATTGGATTAAACTTTTTTCAAATCTTAGACTAAGCCAATGAGGATATCATCCAATATATTTTATTACAATTAGTTGATATTTTCATCTGCTTAGTCTTTGTCATTTGGAAGAAATGTGGCTATTTACATCAGAAATTGAAAAATATGCTATTTAGATTTCTAAATTTACAAAGTATATTTTTGGATTAATCAATATATTATTATTATCATATAATTAAATGTTACAACTTACAGTCTAAAATTAATTTTTTACAATTTGATAAATTAATGATTTTAACAAATTTTATAATTATAGAATTATAATTTTAGAATTCTATGCTTAATAATCATTTCTTAAGATATTTGTATTCAAAAACATAGTGAGCATAAAGACATATAATCATAATTATAATTAAAATGGCATTAATGATAGTTTTATTATACAAAGTAACTAAAAAGTTAACTGAGACAAAATATAGCTCATTTAACCAACTTTCATGCTATCCTGTCACTTTTCAAAACTAAATGCATAATTAAACAAATTTAATTTAAAATGAAAACATCATAAAGCATTTAGCATTATTAATTTTATATTCTTTCAATAAGTTAATTTTCTGAATATATTTTAGGTTGACAATGAAGAAGACAGGTGGAAATTATTGGAAGCAGTTGGCCAGGAAAGGAAAATTGGTAAGTGAAGCATGAATAAAAATTATTGAACTAATTGGCATTAGGCACTAAAAGATCTTATATTAGTATTATTGACTCAAATATTATATTGATGATGTTTTTATATGCTGGATAATATTAACAAGAACATAAATGAAAGATTTGATTATCAAATTGCCATTGATTTAAAATATAGAAGTTTTCTAAACAGTAAAATTGTCTCTCTGGCAATTGAACTAATTATTTAAAACAAAGCTTTAAAAACAAGTTAAAGTGCTATTGTTTTGATAAAACATTCAGATTGGCATATCATTCAAAGATTTTTTGAGATGTTTTATAACATTACTCATAATTTTGTTTCCAGATCAGAATTTTATTAAAATTGTTATCAACAGAGATGGTTTATAACTTTAAGAAATTTTTTTTGTATTGTAAGTTTGGATGAATATTGTGGCTAGCCCATAAATTTAACTGTTAACTTTTCAAATCATAATCTATGTAGTCTGTATATTTCATAATTGCACATTGTTATGGAACATTATTAAATCCTGCATATTTTAATTTTTCTTTCAATAACACTTTTAAAGTATTATAGTAATACAGTAGAGCCTCGAAAACTCGGCCTAATGCGGACCGAAGGGTGGCTGAGTTTGTGAAAATGCCGGGTTATCGGGAATGGGGTTAAAAAAGGATAAGTATGCGTGTTTCCTCAGGAAATATTGTACTGTACTTGTATGTATTGTTTGCTTGAGAATACAACAGAGAATAAACTGCCCAAATACCCTTAAACAAAGGAAAAGTACGTCCTTTATGAAGGCATAGAGCCTTTACTACATGAAAATGAAATTAATGAATACACAGTGTATAGTTATTTACCTGATAAGACAGACCTCAGAAAAATACTTTATGAGGCATAAAGCTGTCTATGATGAAAATTAATTATCTAAGGGTAATTTTGCCCTGCCAAGGTGTGGCCGAGTTATCCGGAGTGCCAGATTATCGAGTGCCGAGTTTTCGAGGCTCTACTGTACTGAGTATTTACAGTATATTGTTTAGTTAGAGGATGATGAAAGATCTGTCATTGTCTGGGTTGCACTTTGTTCTCTTATTAGAAGTTTATGATTGAAAAACTAGATTTAAGCAATTTGATTATATCTAGTTTGTTTGAATTTTAAGCTTGTAATAATTGGATATTAAGTTTTTATCACATTGAGACAGCAATAGATTTAAAAAACTTCAGAGTAGAAAAAGATAGCTAAAAGAAATTTCAAGGTTAATAATCATTTGGAAATTTAATACATTGATATGTAACTTTATTAATAAATTAGTGACATTTCATATTAAAAAGGTAAAATAATCTTGCAAGTTAATATTGATTCTGGATCAAATTTTATATTTTGATCCTAAATCAATATTATCAAATATCTTTCTAAAAACTTTTATATTAAAAAGAATAACCATACTCTCTATGGCTGCCTTCTTAGATTCAACTTCTTGAGATGACCTTTGTAATAAATGAAAGAACAGAATTAGCTCATATTATCCTAAGGGATAATATGCAATGATTGATTGATTGTAATTTTAACAGCAGGGTAATCTGCAATTAAAGCTATCTGCTTTGCCTTGTCAGCCATTAAAATTATTATATACTTGGAGTTTTTTAATTGCTAGTAGTTCCATTCAAGTTTCATTAGCAAATATTTTACAAGAATTAGTTCGTATATAATTTCAGAATTTCAAACATCAGTAGAGAAGGCCAATACCCACAACAAATCAATGTCATTAATAAGGGACAGATTTATATGCATTCAAAATTGAAATATATGTGCCTACATATGTATGTAAAGTATCAGATATTTTAGGCATTTTAACATGCATATATATATATATATTACGTATGTTAAATGCACCAGTAATATACACTAAAATTTGTAGGCTGAAATGCATACATACATACTTTACTTTTGTCTGCAAGAAAATCATAACAACTTCTATTATATCACACACTTTTTAGGTGAGAGGGTATAAACATATGATAATAAATGAAAATTATGATGTCACAAAATATACATATTAAAATGATGTTTCATGTAGAAGATGCACATTCAAGTCAATTACAAGTAAAATTACATGTTCAATACAAATTAATTAGTTTGCTTAGAAAGTTATAAAATCATTATTAAATTTATTTCTAGGTTTTCAACTGTTGACATGTTTAAGGATGACTGGATTAACCTAGTTTTCGTTGTCTTATAATTATGTCATATATTTTTGTTTATAACCCTGTATAAATGATGAGAAATGAGAAAATGCACTTATAAAATTATTAACTAATTATAGATTTTAGTGTCAAAGTTGATAGTAATGTTTCATTTCAACCAGATTCTGTTGCCCAAGAATTTGAATTATTCTTTAACTGTTATGGTTACTGGAGATATTAAATGACTTTTAATGTAAAATATTTGTTTTATAATATTAATAAAAATTTCTTGTTTTTCAGTTTCCCGTCTAAAACGAAGAAGTGAATTGGATGTAATGTTTTCAGAATTACAACAAATGCTGCATATATAATTCATCAGATTTATATCACAAGCTTAATTTCCCTCCATAAAAACTGTTTTTTCTTTCATAAAATTCATGACTGTATTCAAGTTGTAATATTTCGTTCATAATTACGTATTTTATTTTATAAAGTTTATTAAAATAATTTATATTTTATTATTCTAAGTTGTTTATAATTTTTAATATGTCAATGTTTTATTTATTGGATAGTTATTATGCTGATGTCATATCAGTAGAATGTGCATTGGGCACCAATTTTAAGACCTTTTTGACTATCCAACCCCCTCCCTCTCACATTTTGTTTCCAATTTTTAGAAATCTCATGCTGATGTTATGCTTAATCCCCCAATATTAAAAACAAGCATTTCTGTAAAACAGATTTACAGTACATTAAATTTATTCATATTTCCTTCCAAGACAAGATTAATTTTAAAGATAGCCAATAGAAAAAACAAAAATCACAGATTTATTGCAGAAGGGTCTGATTACATTGTACTAAGTAACTCCTGGGATAAAGTTAATATGTTATATATGTGTATAACAAATAATGTGAAGCCGAATATGTATATAGAAACATCACCAAATAATTGGGCTATAACTTTGTTAATTAGTGGAGTTATAGTCCGATTATTTAGGCAATTGTTTGATGATGTTTCTGTTATATATTGGTATCCAGTGGTACTTTTATCTGTCATCTATTTCTGTAAAGGTTATACTTTTATATTAAAAGTCTACTGGAGTGCTTCCAACAGAGCAAATTTAGTACAGAGTTTCTACTTAAGTGCAATCATTGAAATAAGCAAGAATATGCTATGATCATTGATCAAAATATTTCTGCCTAATGATTTTGGTAAAATTTATTTCAAGTATGAAATTCTTAGAGATTCTTTAGGACTTCATTATTCTTCTAACACCCCTCTACCTGGTCACAAAATATCTCCCTTCCCCAATGCATACTATACATTTTCCCATATTTGAATGATCCCATTTACATTAGGAAAAATCTGTTAAATATATATAGCCTAAATATGAAATTATGAATGACAAGATTTTATTATTATGCTGGAAAAAATAGAATTAAATTGTGATTAACAGATCAAACATTATTCACAATATTGTAAAGAAAAATTCATTTTTATTCATTATTAATTAGACAAAAATCTTCAGTAATCTTTAGAAACTATGAAAGTAATTTTATTAAAATTGCATTTATTCAATTGACAGTCTAAGAAAAGCTTGCTACTTTTAATGCACTAAAAGAGAGAATTTTTAAATAATAAACCTTATACTCAAATGTTTCTATTATTGTTTTCTTTAATAATGAAACAGTAAAATTAAATCATACAATTATTCATAAAATGACATAAATTAAAAATTTTAATTTAATCAAACTGTATTACATAAATAATAGGTGAACATTTTAACTTTTCTTAATTTCTTAATAATGATGAAAGAATAAAACTTTTATATTTTTCTTTGAAGATGTATCTACAGTATACAGGGTGTAAGTTTAATATTTCTATCTAGATGGAAGAGAGATCTTTTCAACATTGTATGAGTATATTAATATGATGCACTAGTTCCAATACGATGTTTACGGTAAAATAAATTAATTAGTTCAAAAAGAGAACATTGCAAATTTCATGGTAGCCCTAATTTTTCTATTTCTATTGAGATAAATTGATCCCCTCCGTTATCTTTGAAGAAGATTTAATATAACGCACAAAGAATCTCTGACTGTAAAGGATAAAAAGAATAAACGCTGAAGCGTAAATTATCAATAATGCAAAGAATGGATAGCTTTATTTTGTTACAGTACGTATCCAAAACAACTGACAACAGTAGAAATAAAAAGGTGTGGACGGTTGAGAGTAACACTACTGGTGGCACATAGCATTCACTACATGCGTCACATAGTCATTAATCATGCATTTGTCTCTTCAGCTTGTCAACATGCGTCACGTAGTCGTTAATCATGCATTTGTCTCTTCAGCTTGTCAACAGCAATAGTATTTGCCCAGCACACGGGGTTGCTGGGCAAATACTATTGCTTTTAGATTATTCCCACAGAAAAGATCCAGAGGGGACAAGTCTGGAGAACGTGATGGCCATTGAACATGGTTTCGTCCTATCCATCTGTTATCAGATCGTTCTATGAGCCACTGACGCATGTCTTTTTGGAAATGAGCTACCACGCCAACATGCTGGTACCAAACATGCTGCAATTGTCCAATGGCAAGTAGTTTAATTATTTGATTACCGTCGTGTGTGGATTTTAAGATAGAAGTCATCATTCGATGCCATCGAATGTATTATAAAGTAGCTGCTTATTCCAGATGCCACACCCACCAGTAGCGATTCGCGCCTCATCCATAGACTGGCCACGTGGAGTTTTCCTTACGAGTCTAACATCTAAGGGGCAGTTTTCCATAAAAGTGCTGGAAGGCACTCTCCCCTTGGCAGAAAATGTCATGAAAAACATCATCAATGGGATGAGACATGAGTCTATGGGTACGACGTGGAAACAAAACAATCATCACAGTGGATGGAAAAATTTTACCACAACCCAAAAAGGTACGATAAGTTCGATCGAATGTGGCGGTCTCACTTTTTTTCCCGTTAGATTCTGATGATGTCATTCACTAGGGATTTCTTCTAGAAGGGAAGACTAACGAATACTATCTGGTGGTGATGAAACGTCTTCGTGAAGCAACGAAGAAGAAGACCGACTGCTTGTAGAGAACAGCAATATTCCCGTCCATACATCACTGCTGATAAGAAAGTTTTTTGCCAAGAACTCGACGCCACTTGTTCTCCTACCTCCAAATTCACGGGACTAAGCCCCAGCAGACTTCTTTTGTTCCCCAAAGTAAATTCGGCTTTCAAAATTCGCCATTTTGAATCCACTGACGCCATTAAGGCAAATTCGCTAGCGGAGTTGCTAGCGTCATCCCGAAAGAAGCATTTCTTTCATGGCAGAAATACTGAATTCGGTGCATGGACTCGGGGAACTATTTCGAAGGCGACAAAACTGGCTAGCTTTTAGGTTAAATGCAAACAACTCCTATTTGCAAAGTTCGCGAACTTTCCGGACAGACTTCGTATTTGTGTCTACTGTAGTCTACTATGTCTTGCTGCTTCAATCTTGCTATCCTCTTTAGCAGGGACGTCGAAAATGTATTAATTTAAATTTATTTTACTGTAAGCATCGCAGCGGAACTAAGCACCATATGCATATATTCATACAATGATGGAAAGATCTCGTTTTGCAATCTGGATAAATATTAAACATTCTGAATACTTTTAACTTCAGGTTCAATTTTATTCCTTATAATTTATAAATATTTCAAAATAAACAGTAAACATTTTCTTATTGAATAAGCCAATAAACTATGTTACGAATTCGTCAATGAATCATGAAAAACATCTGCTCCAATACAATAAAAAAAAAACCGGAAAATGACTTTTGTTTTTAAAATTTCGGTAGAAACTGTTTTATTGTAATATGAGTGAAGTACACTCTTTTATACTTGAAAATTTTTTCTTAAAATGAAGGTAACAGCGGTTGTGTTTTTGATAAGTTTCTCTGTGATTTATTGTGGCAGTATTAAACGTTTAGATGTAGATGAAGTCATCGGCAATACAGCGTAAGCTTCTCTTTTAATTAAACAATTTTAACTATTATTACTTAGACTATATTTTTGCATCACTTACTGTATTTGTAACTGACTACGTTCATGACTGATTTATACCTGGTGTGATTTCCTCGGACGACATTATTAGCGGTCTCTGATACACGTATCTCCATTTAACATAACCGTGGATCAAGTAACAATAGCTCTAATAGCTTTTAACTGGATTACAGGTGTTTGTGCTCTTAGTGTTCTAATAGTCGATATAATAGTGAATGATACCATTTAAAAAATGGTATCATTCACTATTATATCGACTATTAGAACACTAAGAGCACAAACACCTGTAATCCAGTTAAAAGCTATTTATAATGGTATCATTCACTAAATACCAACTCTTTTCTTTAGTAATTTTTCAAGTTTTTAAAATAACAATTGCTTACTATTATGTGATACTGTATTACAGGGCCGTGGCTAGAACATTTGGCATCAGTGACTAACTTAAATATGGCGCCTTTTGAATAACATTTTCATTATTATGTTACAAATTTAAAATCATAAAAAAACAAAATACACATTACAGTTTAATACATAGAAGTAGCAAAATATTATTAAAAATCACTATAATGTTTGATTAATTTCAGTTTTGTTTAAAAAAAAATACAAATACGTATAATAATTATAAATACAAAAATTTGTTCTCGGCTCTTGGAAGTTTTGTGGTAATTTTTTATTAACTTATACAATTATATTTTAAAAGTATGTACGGATATCTTTTTCGTAGACATCTGCATGACGACATCCAAAAGCTAATGATTTTAGAAGAAAGTGGAAATATAACTCAAACTCAAGCAATATTCTACTTTCTTGTGTAAGTAAATTCATTCAAATAATTAATTTAAGATCCCTCATTAAAAAAAAATATATATATATATTATAAGTCGATGAGAATATACAAACTGTCGCTAAGATCGGGACTAATATTACAGAGATTTAATGGTAGTCCTTCTAAAATTTCATAGGTGTAGAGTGCAAGATATATTGAATAGGGCCTAAATTACGATGAGCTTAAAATGGCCGCACTCTGGGCTTATAAGAATATATAATATCTTGCATTTATAATTAAACAAATTAAAATCTAAACACTAAAAGATAGATAATGTTAATGTTTTCACATTAATAGAGAGTTGCAGCCGAAGTTTTCATCTCTCAAACGTGAACGTCGAACGACGAGCGCCGCAATCTTGTAAGCGGCGCTCGACGCTCGACGTTCACGTTTGAGAGATGACAACTTCGGCCGCAACCTCTCTAATGTAAAAATTATATCGTATTTCGCGCATATATACACATATTTTCATATACAGTATATTATCACGTATACACTCTTTTTTTTCTCCTTTTATGCGGTAATAATTGAATTTAAAATAATCATTCAATTTTCTTCTGTATAGATTACACGATTTCGATAAAAATGGACAGTTGGATGGTCTCGAATTAATCGTAGCGATAAATCATTCTGTTCTTCATGAAAATAACGTTGAGGAAGTCGTTCCTGAATCATTTTTCATAGGTAGAAAGCAGTCTAATTTCTGTTCTGTTCTTATTAATCATAGTATATATACATTGATTTAAATACGTGATATATTCTTTATAGTCTCTGATTTATCGAATTAATCATTAACGATTCTATAAACTAATAACTCTGTCAGGAAATTCATTAACAGAAGGCATTGTTAATATTAATTATTTCACTAACAGCGAAGTGTTTTGATACACGAAGTATACACGTAACAAACGTGTCTTTTAACCTTCAAATTTCTTCATTTATTAATTAAGAATTAAGAGAAAATGAATATTTGTATTTAACTCTTTTCAGGCGCTGTGGATGATTTACTTCGTCTAGATTCCGACTACAATGGATATATATCATATTCAGAACTAAGACAGTCTTTTAAGAAATTAAATTAAATATTATATTTAATTAAAGAATTTTTTTAAATAAAAGTGTGAACGAAATTTTCTAAAAATGCTGCAAGAAATTATTAAACTATTTATTTAATTTGAAATCTTATGATAAAATGAAAAACATTTCTCAAATGTTTACGTTATTAACGTAATCCGTCTACAGTTACATAGGGTCATCATAGCCAAATTATAAGAAAAGAGGACACTTAATAAATTCTGAATCTTTAGTTTTTGTCTATATGTTTTTAAATATATTTAAAACTCAGCCTAAATTAAAATTTACGTTCGAAAGAGGATAAGATGTCCGGGAAAAAGAGGACGTATAGTAACCAGCGTGTACTGTACAGACTAATGTCATTTGATAGTAATAAAAAAGAATTTAACAACAGACCTAATCTGTATTACAATATATTCTTATTGGGCTGTAATTTGAAAAAATTGTAGACTTATAAATTCTTACTGTCGTTTGTCTGTATGTCGTTCCTTAATTTCGAGATTGAGGTTAGATAGGTGAAAGCCGAGACTAGATATGGAAAGCTAAGGATCAGGAAGCCCCAATTAACTATATACGAATTTCCAGTTTGGAACAGAAGTAACGTTATTTCAATCCAAAAATTTTTCCCTGAAAGGAGTTAGAGAGAGAGAGAAACTCACTCTATTGTTAAAGGAAAAGTATGATGTACAGGAGCAAGCCACTACTAATTTGAGGTGGAGAGCATATATTTTAAATTAAATAAATTTAAAAAAAATATGATTAAAAATTGAAGTCCGGCATTGTGACGATGTCACAATAAATAATAGCTCGTATATTCACGTATTTATAGGTTTAATAAGAGTAAGACGACAAATTTTATTCTAATTTTCTAATTTAAAATACTGTATTATAACTTTATTTAATTATTAAATTAGAAGAAGGAAGTAAATATTAATAATTTCCCTAATACAGTAATATTTTCTATATTTTGTTTTTTCTTTTCTTAAAATGTAGATGGAAATTTTTATCTAAAATTATAATTCTAAAAATAAATGAAATAAAATAATATATTTTAACATTTTTAAAATCTTATTTATTTAATTATAGTTGTTTGTAGAAATCCATTTTTTCTTATATTCTGCGTAAGTTAACATTCCATCGTTATTTTCGTCAAAATGTAGGAAAGAATCGATTAATTCTGAAAAATAAAAGTTAATACATGATTAGATAAGAATATACCAGTAGACCCCCATACAACCGTGTTATATGAATTCCGTGTTGTACGAGTCACTTAGATTTTACAAATACGTGAGCCGTTCACAGCTTGAAACACGTATTTGTAAAATCTAAGTGACTCGTACAACACGGAATTCATATAACACGGAATTATCTACGGTGTTATAGGGGGGTCTACTGTAATAGAAATATATCGATACAAATAATTATTTATACTTTTTAATTTGCTTTTAATTTAATAATTACACACGTGTACAATACTTAATTTAAAAAAAAAAAAGCATTTTATATATTCAAATAAAATGGCAATAGAGATCCAGTAAAGGATAAAAGGAACCCGAAAAACTTCTATTATTAAAAAACTCATTCAAATTAATTTAATTAGGAGAAATCTAAAAAAGTTTAATGTTAATTGCAAAGGAAATAAATTGTTATTAAGATAATAATTATAATGAAGATCACCTGATATTTCGTTTTCATTACTAATTAATTTATTTTCGGAATTAGGCCACGAATGACGAAAAGATTGATATAATTCGATACCATCTAACTTATTATTTCCATCGTAATCGTGCATTCTGAAAATATATTATTTATAATCCAATAAAAATATATATAAAAGGAGTAAAGATACAATAAAAATTATTTAAATTTTTAATTTATATTGAAGATATTCGCTTTTCTCTTATCATTTTACGTTAAAAATATTCACTTTATCTCGTAAAGGATTCTGTAGCAATCCTGTTTATAGGACCAAAGTTGTTTGTAGTGATTCCAACTATCACCCCTATCAGTTTGTTATAGAGATTTTAGAACATTATAAACTACACTAACGGTTTTAATTGAGCCCAATTGGGACGAACCTGACTCGAGATAGGATCAATTAGTTGAGATCGACGGAACAATAAAAATTACGTATGAAAAATCATGAAAACCCGGTCAAATAGATTTATATCTAATGTAATTGGTCATGTAATAGATGTGATACAACCTCTTAAATCCCCCCCTCACCAAAGTTACAGATAAATTCAATTTAACTCGATTAAAATCCGTTAATAATTATAAATTTCATTCATATTTAGTAATAATTACATTATAACTTACTTATGAAAATAAAACACAGCATCATCTGTTGTTATTTCTCCAATATTTTTAATATTCAGTATTTTCATAAAATCGAATTTGATATGGCTGTAAATAATAAAATAAGTGATAATTAAATTATAAGCAACGAAAATTTCCTTTTTCTTTTACACAAAATTAAAAATTTTGGCATTCTTCTGTAGCTGAGTGTCAAGCCAAATGGTCACGCTGATACTCTTGTATCAGCGTGACCATTTGGCTTGACACTTGATACTATTGTATCAGCGTGACCATGCTGATACAAGAGTATCAGCGTGACCTCTGGATTTGTTATTCCAAATGGCCAATTCCTCTTTAATCGTTCATTTCAATATTAAAAACTAATTTGAATAATGAGGCAGACCTCTAATAAGATCTGCCTCAGTACACAATAATAAATATGAATTCAATCAAAAATTTATATTTATTACGTTTCTATCATCCCGTTTGTCGATTAGTCAAGAAAATAGGAAATTTGACAAGGAAAATAACAATATTAATTATAAATTTTAGTTTCTATTTAATATCTAGAAAAAGTTTTACAATATTAAATATAAATACGTACTTTATATCACTAATAAAATCGAAAAATTTTGACTTTCGAGGTTTCTCATTTTTTTCGTCGTCGTCATTTGTGGAAAAACACGTAACCTGATATAAAAACAATAAAATAAAACATAAAAGAATAAATCTGGACATCTTTTAAATTAAATTTCTTATGTTATAATCAATAAACTTAAACCTATTAAATGTTTAAACGTATCAAGACTTCCTTATCCGTCGAAAACAGGAAATTTGATTAACGTGTCGTTTCCCTATAAGTCAATATTCTAATCTTAAACTTCTAAAATTTTAGAATTATAAGTGATTTTATAAAATCCCAAGCCAATATAACACATAACACAATATAAATTTAAAAAAAAAATGAATTTAAATTAGAAAAATATTTTTAAAATATTTCTAGTGTTTGTTTACCTGTTTCTTTGGAGGGTGCCTATTTAATTAAATAAAAGCAAGGAAACCTTAATTAAACAAGACAATTATTTAATAGTATTTCACTGCGCTTAATTTCACAAATTTGATTAATCTTGTATAAAAATGTTAAAATTCTATTCAATATGAAAAATGTGAAGTATTTAGTAACAATTTCATTACTCTATCGTTAAACATCTAAGGTATTTCTACATTTTATTTGAAAGATCATTCAATTATTCAAATAAAACACATCGCTACTGTTTAATATATTAAATGTGACCCTTTAAAGTTGTTTAACTTTTCCGGTAATGTTTGGTGGCGCCATCTGTTATCATATTTTATTATTAATAATTTTTACAACTCTTTTTTTAACCCTTTTATTTAACCCTTATAAAATGGCAGAAAGCTTAATTTTGAGGGTACGGTGGGTTTTATGAAAAAATTGTAAATGCTAATAACGAGTAAAATCGTCATTAAGTCCTACCCTACTGGGGATACACACGACCCCCTTTATCTCCTCATCCCCTCGACCTTTAACCACCAAAATTTAACAGCATTAATCCCCCTAATACAGAAACCTCCGTGCAAAATTTCATAAATTTTTCACGATAAACACAGGAGTTATTAAGCTTTGAACAGGGGGAACAAAACTGTTATCACATTTACATATACGGAAAAAACCCGGATTTTTTAAAAATTTCTTAACGTTTCAAAGTGTCCTGAGTCTAAATCTGGAGGGTGTTATGTATAACAGCTGGGAAAGTAAAAATCGTAAAATATGATACATATAACTTTCACAAATGAGTTCAAATGTTTTAGTATTAAACGAGACACGTTGCATTCTCCACGACGTCTCCAAGATTAAATGTAGCACGATATCAAAAGGAATCTACACTTAACATTTTATTCTGTTAGTAAAAAATAACCTTAATTTTTAAGGGAAAGAACTGCTAACGGGCCCAGGAAAACATCCTCAGTCCTGCTCGAAATAATTCGCCTTGTCGTTCCAATTGTTCGGGAATTAGTTATAAAATATATTTTTAAAATTTTCTTGGTAGATCTACTGGAGTAATCAGGGAGGTACCCCTTTGTAATGAAAAAGTTAATAAAAATGCCATCTTTGTGACTTTCAGGCAACTTTGATAAATGGCTCCGAAAGGTTCACCATAAATCAACGGTCACCAACCGGTAATGGACCACTGATGGTCCGCGAAAAATTTTTGTTGGTTTGTGGAGACAATTTGACATTGATCAATTCCAGATTACTCGAAGTATTATGAAAGAAATGCAAAATCCGTTGCTTTTTCTCATCTATTGAAGTTTTTTTAATAGAATCGTAGACCAAACACGAAATAACTGTTATTAATAAATAGTAATGTCAATAAATTAATAAATAAACAACAATAAATTATTTAATTTAAAGTATATGCTCTCCACCTCAAATTAATAGTGTCTTGCCCCTGTACATCATACTTTCCCTGTTAGCAATGGAGTCGTGCAGGTCATCTATCAAACTACTTTCAGGGGAAATTTTTGAATTGATTTAACGTAACATTCAGTTTGCATTGGAAGTCCAAATAAGTTAATCGGGTGTCCTCTCACTAAGGTTTCCATACCTGATTTTATCTATCTTCAGTGGAAATTTATAAGTCTACAATTTTTTGAAATTGCAGCCCAATATGAGTAAGATTGTTGTCTTTTGTGAAAAAAACCAAGAATCCATAAACTTATTTCAAACAAGCAGCAACAAACTTTACACTAATTTGTTTTAATTAAACAAGTAAATTTCATATAAATAAAGTGAGACTTTTATGATCATTATTCTATAGATGTTTGTGTGAGGGCCAGAGTGACCGGAAATGAGAAGAACTCTCCGTGTTTTCGTTTTTTTTTTTTTTTTTTGTATTCGCCGTGATGTTTTCCTTAATTTCGGTTTCCGTTCGGGGTTACTTAAAACGGAGAATGGCCTATGTTACCTTCCCTTAGAGTCATTTTCTTTCCCCGCGGAACTCGGGAATGCGTCAACGGGAACTAGATTCTAAAATGTTATGATTGGAATAAACTAGTAACGTGATCAGGGCCATAAAAGGGAGCGATCCGAAGGAAGCGGGGTGGTTCGTCGTGAGAAGAGGACCTCGGTCAAGACGAGAGCTGACGACGGAGACGACCATCCTACGCCAGAACAGGCCCTGCGACTTTAGGGATCCAAACTCTTCTTTCAGTGTGTGAGGACCCGTCACGCCGTCTACCCAGTCAACGAGGCATAAAACCCAATTATATGTGAACTCTCTCTCAGGCCCCCCTCGAGTAGTAGTACTTAGTGAATAATTCCGAAGGTTGTTCATTTTGTTAGTTAATAAACTTGTGTTTCCTTGTTAAATGGTGTCTATTACTCGAGTATCTCCAACGCCATACCGACGACCCCTCTCACCTCTTCCACTCGACCTGACAAAAAAGAATACCGATCCTTCGGTTAGAAAAAAAATAAACAAGCCATTCTTTGACCAGTGGGCAGGCTTAACCACCTGTAACGCGACCTGAAAGAGGCACAGTACGACTCCGTCCTACCTCAGGGATACCCACATTTGTATCGTTTAAAAAATTTCATATTGGTCCGAGGAATTCATAATTGTGAGTTTAGTAATCCGTGAGGTCATTTTAGACAGATTTCTAGACAGTTCTTCCTTCATTTCTACGAACAACAAAAAGGAGTTTGCTTAAAAGGATGAATAATATACTATATAGGATATATTATTGATCCTTTTAACCATTTGGCAACTGATGGGCCATGTGATCTGGCAGATCGGTCTCGTATTGCGTTGCCTTACCCTATCGAACTCATACTTTTAGGTCCACAAGTTTAAAATTAACTGTTTTATTTAATTAAATAAAAGCAAGGAAACCTTAATTAAACAAGACAATTATTTAATAGTATTTCACTGCGCTTAATTTCACAAATTTGATTAATCTTATAATATATTTTCATAAAATAATTGATTTAGAATATATTTTATTAATATAGAACGAGTGAGAATTGATCAGTACGAATTATGATAACAAGCAATGTGTTTGTTTTCTCGTGTTGCGTGCAAATCTTCTGTTGCTGTTATATAACGTTGCAGGAGTTTCAGTCAGTGTCGCCATTTTGTCTTAGAATTGAAGATGAAAAACTAAAAAATTCTCTACAAAAATGCTTTCATTTTAAATTCGAAAATGGTTGAAAAAACTGCCGAAGAGAAAGAAATTTTCAAGAAAGGTTATTATGGATTTTTAATGGTCATTATAGGTCCTATCACTTTCTTCTACTTTAAGGATTTAATGGAGTTTATAATTCAGCAGGTATATTATTATTATATTCCTTAATTAAATATATAAAATAATAAGAATATATCATACTAATTCGAATAGTAATCTTAAATGAATTCAAGAAAATAAATTTAAAATTAAAAGTGAAAACGTAATTAATAATTTTGATTATTTTTCATTAAAATATTAATCAAAATATATATTTCTCGACTTATAATATTAAATATTTTGCTATTAATAATTCTAGTAAGATTACTAATTAATTAATATAAATTATTTAAATTTAACATCATAACAGGCTTGAAGAATATCGAATAGAAACTGTATTATTTAATAACATTTATATATGATATATTTATGGAGCTCGAATAGGTAACAAAGAGGCCCTATCTCTCTTCGAAAACTATAAAATTATAAGGAAAAAAAATCAATAAAATGAACAAAAACTGACTTTTTACCAATTATAGAAACAAATTTTAATTTATATCATATTAATATTATGAATTTTGAGGCCTTTCCTTGTTAGGGAAAGGCCTCAAAGTCTGAGTGAAATAGCTCTGTTAATCTTCTCTAGGCCTATATAATTTGATAATTCAAATTTTATGAATAAAATTTATATTTTAAAATCTAATTGTTTATAAATTGTTATTACAAATTTATTATTTTCGTTTAAATATTTAGTATTATGTTTTATATAAAATCAATTTTGTTTTTAGAATATGAAGCTAAAAGAAGGCGATATTATAGTCGAAAATTGGTCTAATCCACCGATGGGAATTTATGCTCAAATTTACATGTTTAACATTACTAATCCTGACGATGTTCCACAGGGTAAAGTTCCTGTACTTAAAGAAGTTGGACCCTTTGTTATGCAGTAAGTTTCATATTAAACTTTCAGACAATTAGTCTAGTTCTTCATTAAATATGTTAAATAAATTATTTCTGTAAAGACTAGCCTAATATAAATTTTTATTTAAAAACACAGTATTATAATTGAATTATAAGCGATTTTTTTTTGTTAATCTCAATTTAACAAATAAGAATTTTATAATGTTTGCCCATTGTCGGTCGAATAACCGAGGCGGTTTAGGCACAGTTTGGGGAATTTGGGATCGGATCTGGGGAACATTTTATGTGAAGTCCGTCGCGGATATGTCTGGTAAACATCCCAACACCCAGCCAATTTCATTATGGGCTTAATCAAACCATAATGAATATGATTAAAAAGATCTTCTTAAGGCCCACGATGAGTGGAAGTGAAAATGGAAAAACGAAAAGTTTGCCCATAGTTATTTTGATTGTTACAAATTTTTTTATTATAAATTAAGCTATGCTTAATTATTTCATTTATATTTAAGTTAAATTGGTCATAGCATTATCCAACAAATCAAGTTGAATATTGTTAAAGATCATTTTTAAACATTTACTATATTAATAGCGCGATAATTATTACGTTAGCTCGTTAATTAATTGCATTTAATGCATTGCTTAACTCCATACTTAAGTGTTTATTGTTTAAAGTAAAAAGAAACCCGTTGATAGAATTAAGTTTTAATTTTTCTAATGGCAAAACGAAGAACTTAAACCGAAAAATTATATTGATTTTAAATCGATTTCTTCTCAAATCTCTTATGTCACGAACAAGTCATAAAAATTATTTAAAGTTTACCTTAAACCCATTTCTCATTTATGAATTCATGAAATTAAAATAAAATAAGGCATTCTTATCTTTACATTTCTGCGAGAAATTTCATTTAGTATATTAAACAATTAAGTTTCTTCGTTATTTATAATTAAAATTATACAATAAAAATTATAGTAATAAAATTGCAAATATTATATATTATATTATTGATTTTTCCATCAATTCTTGGCACTAAACAATCAATAATGAATTGATACTAATCCTGTTGACTTTTACAGATATTATTACCTAATTTAGTTTTTATATATGTTTATTTAAATTAACTTTTATTTATGCGTATTATATGGTATTTAAAATAAATATACGTGTAAGCTAACTAGGCACAAATCTGTTCCCTTTATTAAAAACTATTATGTACTGCTGTCCATTAAAATTGCTATATCATAAAGGCTGTAAACAACAAACGTGAAATTTGCATGAAAAGCACAACATGCTGGGTGTTATGTACTACAAGATTAACTATCAATGTTTTCATGTTTTCCTTTTATTACTCTGTGTGTGTAAAATAAATATGATTCTGCTATTCGTTTCTTTCCTGGTATAGCAATTTTAACGGCCAGCAATGTTTTCTTTCATGGATATAAGTTACATTAAAATCTTCCTAAGAAGACCACCTTTCCTTCTAAGAGAGTTTGATCTTCTGTAAAGGATTGGAATGACCATATTTTTAGAATAATGAGATTGGCTGCCAACTTATCGTTTACTCTATTGGTCTTATTATTGGTTTAATTTCGAAGATGAGATGGTAAGACTTTAGTCTACTGGGGACCCTGAAACGAATCCGGCAATTAAAATGCCCCTGGAATTTTTCGGGGACAGACAGCTTAGACATCCAATTATGTTGTGGGGCTAGCCAAACCTATGAAGGCCCTCTTAGTATTCATAGGACGAAGGATTTGAGATTGTCTGGAGTTTCGCGATTTATAAAGCCAACTAGCAATAGAAAAGGAGGTCTCAAGTTTAAGAGCACCCATACAGGCCACTCTTCTATATGCCAAGTGGCCTCTTAAGCCATGCAAACAAATTTATTGATGTTCAGAGTTGGAATAACTCACCGGGGTATCGGGCTTTTTCCTGTGGGCCGTCGTCTTCGGAGGATCTACTGATCATTGTTAAAAAGTTAATACAAGTTTATATACACGATAATTATAATATAATAATAAAATCTAATAAAATAACATGAAAATTTAATAATTTAGGCTTAGAATAAAGAAACTCGTATATAAATGGAATAAAGATGCAGAATCACTTGAATATAAACAGAAGTTAGCATTTTTTGTGGAAGATAAATTATCAGATAAATCAGTGAACGAAACGATATATCTCCTTAATATGCCCGCTGTGGTAAGTATCGAGTTTTAAAAACTATTTTATGTGTGTTGTCATAATTTTTAATGTCTTAATACACGAATTTAAAACTTAAGAACGTACGACATTTGTACACGAATAGAGAGCAAACTGTAGATGAATAAAGACAATATATTAGTCCTTAAGCTTTAGACACGTACTGTACGTACGTTAAGAATCATTTTAAAATATTATATGAGTTAATTATACGATCATTAAATTTAATAATACTTTATGTAGCTTAAATTATGGTGAATGTCCATGATCCATGATTTCAGGAAGAAGATTAATACTATCCAAATAACTCATACATTTCTTTCGTTACCTTTTACATTCAGTATATTATTAAATTTTATAGACTCATATTTATTGATTAGGTAGATCCATATTTATGTTTTTAGAAATAAATTTATTATATTTCTTTTATAGGGTGCGGCTAGTTTATTAAAAGAATCGGGATTAGCATTTCTTACAAGTGGTATTTTCAACAGTATTATGGAAGAAGAGACATTGATTCAGAAAACCACAGTGAGAGGATTAATAGCAGAAGGATTGAAAGTACAGTTTCTAGATTCATTAACGAAAAAACCATTTCTGAGTTTCCTTAAAGACACTTTTGACGCTGTTCTAAAAAATGGAACCGTTAATATTCTTTATCTGGTAAGTGAAATCGAAATCATTCTGATAATGAAAACTGTCAGGTAATTTCGTTTTACAAATGATTATTATATATTAAAGTTCCTTCTATAATTAATACATAAATTCGTTCATATTTATAACCACTTAAAAGGGGTTTTTCGGATTAATAAACCGAAATGTTATGTCCTTCGAATTCAACGTTTACCCGAGTTCAAGGATTACTCAGAAAACGATTTAATTATCAATCAAAAAGTCCGAAATATTGGTGTAGGCTCTATCGCAGATTTGTGGCATTTACTGAAGAGGGACCGGAGAGCATTTACATCCGAAATACATTTAAATAAACTATATTTTTGATTTAGATTGTTGGAAAAAGCAGGCCTGTAAATCCGATTTCTTTTAAAACCAGTGGTGGCAGTGGAACCAGTGGACATTCTGGAGTACCATTAGCGGCGAGTACAGATAATGGTACTCCAGTTTTTTGTATAATTCTTTATAATGAATTTATAATTTATTTAAATATTTAGGCTATATATATTATATTAATTTTTGATTTATTATTTTTAGATGAATCGAACTGAACCAATGAAATTTGAGGTTGCAACCGGTTACAAAGATGGCTATTCGATGGGGGAAGTTCTTGCATTTGAAGGACAAAGGTAAGGATTCTTTATTTACGCCACTGGTAGACTGATGTCGTAACCAGTGGCGTAAATATCATTTATGCAAATCTATACAATTTCACAGGGTTCTAAGCACCTAGGACCCATGGTACCCATAGTGGCATGACTGCCTAGTAGAGATATGATATCGGAACTTGGAAGTAATAAAAATATTTACAGAAATAAAGTTTTTAAGTCAGAAGAAGCACAAACATACAGAAGATACTCAAAGAAAGTCTCTCAGAATAAATAGAAATATTCGAGAAGCCATAAAATACCGGTAGTCGAAAATTGAACTACAACATTTCAGAAGAAATCTGTGAGAAAATGATGTCGGTATTTTGATGACGACCAAAGTTTAACTTTTACCCATAACAGGTCTAAAGTAGGAGTATAGAAAACACTTACATTAGACCTGATCCCTTTCTACGATACTTTTGATATAGTACAGTACTATCACAGCTTACAGTGGTAGACAGATACATTTTATGCTGTTTTCTCTTAGTCCCTAATAGTGACCAAATGTATTCAGCTGCAGAAAAAATTCTCGCCTGTTAAGAACGTAATTTATCATACATAAAGCAACTGCTCACTTAGGGAAAGATATTCCCAAAATAATCACAATAAATGAATTAGCATACCTACTTTTGATTGAAAACAGTATGGCTTTATCCGCCTTACTTGATGTCATCACGACTTTTCTATTATTTCTTATAATATCTGTAACTATGGCTTCTGCCGAATGTTTATTCTCTAAGCTAAAAATTATAAAGACTCATTCGAGGAGGAATTCAATGACCAAGAGATAATAAGTGATTTAGCATTCATGAGACAGGAAACTGTACTTGTCTAAGGCAGTGGACAGAGTCTATATTTGCTGCAATTAAATTCAGACAACCAAATTAAGTTTCATGCACCCTGACTTAGAGTTTATCGAAACTTTTAAAATGAATTTTCTTTCTTAAATATTTATCTAAAATTATTAAATTTTCTTATAATTCATTGTGAAATATATATATATTCTTTTATATTTATTAATTATAGATATTTTATTTCAGAAAAATGAGTAAATGGGGAAATGAATATTGTGATATGATTAATGGCTCCGGTAATATAACTTTTCATTATATAAATCACTTTCATTAAATTATAAAAGCACAATGTCTTCAAACCTTAATATAATACTTAAAAATAGAGATCGTATCAGAAAATCTGTAGTAATATTTCTTTAATTCTAATGATAATCACTATCACTATTGCATATGTGATCTAGTACAGTAGACTCTCTGTTAATTAAACAGAACTCAAGCAACCTCAACTCTCAAGAAACCGGAAAAAATTAAAGAAATAATAATTTAAGTGTATACTAAGCAGAAATATAAGTATCAATACAGAGTTTATGTTATAGTATAGCGTACAGTATTATTCTGCATGTTAGATGAAGTATTTGACAGGCGTGTGTGGCCTGACTCGAAGAGATTATGTGAGAAATAAAATACATTACTTTAATCTTAAAGTTTTACACCAGTAATTATTTATTGTAATTTTATTTATCTGGCATTACCAATCCCCATGGGATATGAAAAGAAATTGAAATTTTATAACGAAAATAAACAATACTAGCAATTATTTATTGTGACATCGTTACAATGCTCTCAATTTTACTAGTGTCATACCCCTGTACATCATACTTTTCCTGTTAACAATAGAGTCTTACCGATTATCTATCTAACTCCGTTCAGGAGGAAATTTTTGAATTAAAATAGCGTGATGATTTCCGGTCCAAACTGGAGGCTCGTACATAGTTAATCGAGGCCTCCTGCCATAACTGTCGATGATAAGGACAGGCAGCAAACGAATGCAAGTGGAAATTTATAGGTCTGCAATTTTTGAAAATTTTAGCGCAAACACGAGTAATGGTTTTTTATATAATTTGTATAAATGAATCAATATTGAGTAAATATTCTTTAATCGAAAAAACTTATTAAAAAGTAAACACTTTTAGAGCTGTCACTCACTGTACAGGTACTTCATTCTCATTAATTCAATACTTTTTGCTAATTTTGGAGTTTTTTAAAGGAGTTTTTACAGTAAAAATCATTAAATTGTAAAAATTATATTAATTATTGTACATTATATAACTAAAAACTACTATAATGCATCATATAAGGATTCCTGTTTACTATTTCTTACTAAAATTTATATCTTTACGTACGATAAATAAACAAACGTTATTAAAAAATCACTTTATATACTTTTCATAGTTAATTATATAAATTTTCAATACTGGATGCAAAAATAGTTATAGGCATTGAAGAGAGTATTAAGCATGATTCCGTCCTTCCTTCATCAATCTCGAGAATGATATTAAATAGATGAAAGTTATGACAGATGTGGAAAATTTAGGTGCAGGAGGACCCAATTAAGTATACGAACTTCCGGTCTAGATCGGAAATCACGTGAATTCAATTCAAAAATTTCCTCCTGAATGGAATTACATAGATGATCGGAACGACTGTTGTTATCAGGAAAAGTATGATGTACAGGGGCAAGACACTATTAAAATTAAGAGCATTGTGACGATGTCACAATAAATAACTACTCGTTTATAATATTCTATTATAATTAGTTAAGATTAACATATATTATGAATATTAAGATAATTTATTAGAAATAAATAATTAATTGATTATTTTTCAGAGGGAATTACTTTTAAATATCCAATTAGAAGAAAAATTCAATATTTCTTTTTCCCTCAGTTTTGCAGGTAAATAAATAAATATAAATTTAAAATTTTTTATATTAAATGTCAATTTACTAGTGTATAAAACTGTTAATTCATACTACTTACATAAACAGTATATACGTTGTATAATTAAGTGTTATTATTAAAATTAAGTGTTAAAAAATTCAAATTAATCTACATATATTGTTTATATCAAGCCACAAATTAATATATTTTAATTATTAATTCATTGTTTACCAAACTGGGATTTGAGAACCTCTGGGGTGCAAACCTAAAAGGAAGCGATATGCATTTATATATACAAATTTATGTTGATTTATTAATACAATTTTCGAATCAAAACTATTTTCAAAATCTATATTTATTTATTTAAACGAATTCTATAATTTATCGATAATCGAATCGTTATGTAAGATTCGATGTGGAATATTTTATTAGAAATATCAATTTTTCTATAAATATTGCATTAATTGGAGAGAAAAGATATTCGTAATATTTTGTAAAAGAGAAAAATCATGTAAAAGAGTGTGAACTTTACATAATTATTTCAATTATAAATTATTATTACAATAATCTTTTAATTACACTATTCTAATTATTATTAATTAAAAGAATCTAATTAAAAAGATCTGTTATGATATTTTATTTTAAAAAAAACATTTTATATTTTTATTATTATTATAAAATGGCAAAAAAGCCTAATTTCGAGGGTAGGGTTTTATAAAAGATTGTAAATGTTAATAACGAGTAAAATCCGATCCTACTGGAGATATACACGACCCCATTATTTTTCCACCCCTCGACTTTTAACCACCAAAATTTAATAGCATCAATTCTCCTAATACACAAACCTCCCTGCAAAATTTCAAACGTTTTCGACTAAAAGCACAGGAGTTATTAAGCTTCAAAGGTGAACTAAATAGTCATACACACACGCACTAACATTCATACATATAAAAATTCCCCCCTTTTTTGCATTTCTCGACCTTTCAAGATGTCCTAAATCCAAAAATGTAAAAATCTGGTAGGTTATTTTTTGCCGGATTGCCATACTTTCCTCTGTTATAACAGCTGGGAAAAAGTTATAAAATTCTAACCAAAAGAGAAAGAATTGCATTGAATGTTAATTCTAATACAGTACGAAAGTAGGTAATATATATACATACATGTACGAATAACTGTAATAAGTATAACACCTTTATATCTCAATTCTTTAGATTGTAAAGTTTTTTATTATTTGAATAATAATAATAATAATAACAAAAATAATTTTAATTAAGGAAACATTTTTATTTAAAGATCTCTTAAACTAGACTACATGGGAAATGATGACGTTTTTGGTATTCCAACGAAAAAGTTTTACATGGATACAATGTTCCTCAGTCCTCGAATCATGAAGTCTAACTCGTGCTTTTGTACGGAACCTGTCTACTGTAAATATAATGGAACGATTCCTTTAGACAAATGCTTATTCGGTATGTATTGTATTATTTTCTTTTTTGCTAAATAATTGAAAAGATTATTGCTTTGAAAAGTAAATGGAATTTTTATATTAATTTATCATGGATAATGAAAAAAATGTATTGGGGAACTGTACCATATTTCATCTACGTAATCCAAATCCTCCCACCTACAATACATAATCCGATGGTTGGTCGGTTGTTGTCCATGCATTGTTCAAGGGAGTTTACAATAGGGTAGGAGTAATATGGTACAGTTACCCTAACTAATTATTTACCTGAGTAAAATTACTTTAGTCGAACTCCTGCTAGACCCTATTAAGTATATCCGATGTCACAGCTTGAACGGTATAATAAAAAGTATCAAAAACAGAAACGAAGAAGATATTAATAGCTTTTATAAAAGAACTATTCTTAATAAAACGTTTTATTCTTATACATTTATATTCTTATTGTTTTAGGATTACCGATAAGTGTTTCCAAGCCACATTTTTATGGAGCGGATTCTATTTTTCGTGAATTGGTCAAAGGTTTAACACCGGATGCTGACAAACACCAGACTTATTTTCATATAAACACTGTAAGTTTTTGTTGCATGAGGGATAACATAGTTTTCTTTCTTTTATATTTAACTACTGTGTTTAAATTAACAATTTTCGTTATTTTTATTAAATTTATGTAAAATTTCAAACTTTATTTCAGATGTTAGCTATGCCTCTTCAAGTCCAAATTGGTCTTCAAATCAATATGAATGTCAGAGTCGATAAAAGATTCAAGTAAATTATTATATTTTTTAGATATTTTTAGTTTGAGCACACGAAAGATAACTTAAATCTTGCATTTTATTAAACAGAATTCTTTCTAAAATGAAAAATATGGTGATGCCAATTGTCTGGATTAATGTTGTAAGTATATTTGCATGTTAAATATAAAAAAATCATAATACGTATACAATTGTTATGACTTAAAAAGTAAAAGAAAACATGCTACTTTATTTATCATACTTTCTTAACTCTTCGATTAAACATAGTTATCTATGTTAAAATAAAGTATATATATTAAGATAATACAGTAAATATATTTTAGAACGAGCAATTATTTATTGTGACGTACCGGGCTGCAATTTCTCGTCACAATGCTCTCAATTTTAATAGTGTCTTGCCCCTGTACATCATACTTTTCCTGTTAACAAAGGAGTTATGCCGGTTATCTATCTAACTTCATTCAAGAGAAAAAAATTATAAAAGAATATTTTACACGCCATTAATATTGGCATTCTGATTTGCATTTCTTCAACACATTACTGTTAATAAGTAAAACAGTTCGGTCTTCACTCCATATAAATATAGATTGGGCTTACTTTTTAAAACTTGACACAACGCTTAATCCTCCACAACAATTAGACTATTATTGAAATAAAAAGTATAATTAATTAATTAAAAATTATTATAAATGAACTTTTTCTAATTTTTTTTTTAATTTATAAAAATNGCCACAGCACTGGCGAAAATGTAAATTTGCCGACTGAAATTTTTTCGGATAATTGACGTTTTGGATAGTTGACTTTCGGATAATCGACGCTCTACTGTATTTGCTAATTGATTGCATATTTCATTTATATCTATATGCTACAAATAATTATTTATTTATTATTTGTTAAAACCAATGTATAAATTTTAACTGAGATGTGCAAAGCAACCCAATGTGAAACAGCTTAAAAATTATTTATTTATTAGACAGCCGGTATAATGGGTACCGGTCTCGAATGGGTGGTATATTTGGGACTAATGGGACCAATCTATTCTGCAAGAGCAGTTGGTATTGGTGTTACGTGTTTAGGATTACTAAGGCTAAGTAGAGCTTTTAACTTCCCATTAAACAAGGTAAAGTCTATTTTTCGAATTATTGAATTATAAATTAATTTATCATTACATTTTAACTGAATGATATCATTACACTTCATGAAAGAAATGTTAAATTTCCTTCACAGAAAGAAGAAGTAAGCAGAACGGCCACAACTTCAACGAAGGTGCATCCAATCGATACTAAGTCCATTAAATCTACTAAGTCTTCAGAGAAAAAGGAGAAAAGTGCTTTGAAAGGTAAACTTAGTAAAATTTTAACCATGCCCAAATTTAAAAAGACAAAGAAAGAAGAAACGGACGAACAAGAAGCCGCATCGAGTGATGGACAAGAGCAAGTTCAATCAAATACTGTACAAGAAGGATAAAGATATTCTTTTTATAAATGTTTCTCCAATATAAAGTAAAATATTGAGAATTCAAACAAATTTCTTGAATATCTTATATATTAATAAATGGACAGTAGACTATAATAAATTTGAGAAACGTAACTACAGATTTAAATGAAGTGGAAGATTTTGTCAAATGGAAATAAATCAAACACTTAATAGAAAAACTAAAATTAAATTTAAATAATACTTCAATCTTTAATCCTGAGAAAATAACGGATTTAATCCAATACCGTACTTTATATGTTTATGTATAGGCCTATGTGTGCATAGTATTATTAATATATACTACAAGCTGTATACTAGTAATTACAGCTTGTAGTTATCACACAAATCGTGAATTTCTCCAATTTGTAAGACATTCACAAGCCGTGTCTTTTGATTATAAATACTTTGTTTTTGTTATGAAAACAAAGAAGGCCTATGCAGATTTTAATTTAATTTATTGTCAATTTACTAATTACAAAGTTTATGTATTGCACGGATATATAGATATAGAAAAAAAAAGCATCAAACACTATATATATATTTCTTAACACAACATTTTTATAAAAATAATGTTACTTTTCTACTCAAAGGAAACTACTTTATATCTATTAAGCTTAGTTCACATGGATATTCGATTCTCTCCTGCAGTGTCGCGAAACGAGAACAACGAAATGAACAGTAAATGTCAGAACAAGATGGCGGCTGATAAGAGAGAATTGATGTTGATATTAAAGAAAACCAATTCGCGATTCTCTCTCTCTCTCTCTCTATGTGAACTAAGCTTAAAAGAATGTTTTCTCTTTTGTTTATTTTACAGAAATAAGATTTAGTGTTTCTTGTAAATAATTTCGTTTGTTATTTTCTAAGTGAAATTATATTGAAAAATGAAAATAAATGAGTTATTGAAAATTGTTTAAAGTCTTTCTGATATTATACGTTCATGAAATTTTTCGTGCATTTTTTTTTTTAAAAAAAATTAGTAGATTGATAAACATTTATTAGGCTATAATTTTTAGAAGAAAAGTGAATAAAAGTAAATGTTTTCTACGTTTATTTTAGTCAAAACAAAAGTAACAATTGGCAGATCACTCGTGTGTTCCGTTGCTTTACTCTTTCAATCCACTGACACAAATCTTAATGCTGACATTTTAATGTTTTGTGAATAAAGTTACATTTCACATTTGTATGTATGGAAACTTTTGGGACATCCTGTATGTAATATTATAAATTTCAGGAAATATATATAAGCTTGCAGGGATGATATAACGTAGATATCGACTTTTGAGACATACAATTTATATTTCTTTCTTTATTGAAGAATGTCAACAAATATCAATACATTATCTTCTGATTGTGACAATTTCTTATCATATTTATTTACTTTATAAATGAAAATTTACCGATATTTTTAATTATTTCGTTAAGTAAAAAATTATTTTATTCAATGTTTTATTAAATAGAAATTTCTATTGGGAGTTTTGTTATTTACAGGTTTGAACAGTTTGAATTATCAATTTTGTTTATCATTTATAATTGTAAATTGAAGCAAAAAGAAATGTAAGAAATTTTTAAAATTTCTTTAATTCATTTCCTGTTTGACTATTTCTTTTAATTAGACTTCTTTTGGCAATTTTCATCCGGATACTTTGCTGAAAGATAAAATTGTCTTTTTAATAAATGTAAAGATAAATATAATTTATTTAAATTTAGAAAAATTTTATAAGTATAAATATAAATACATATATTTAATAATTTTGCTTGGTTTAATAACAGCAAACATAAAGTGAGATTTACACGATACATTTCTTCTACACTCTTCAAAAGTGAAATTGCAACACCACGAAAAAATGCTTGTAGCCATATGCACATTGCAGGGCCTGTAGAGGTGTGACAGATATGCAAATGATTAAAAGAACAAACACCTGACAGAACAGACACCTGTTTATTCATTAACGAACGTGACCCCGACGAGCAGGCCGATATACGGCGAGGCATACTATCATGAAGCGATTAATGGTTACCTGAGGTGTCCCTTGCCAAGCTGCGTCAACTGATGTGGATGTCATCTACGATATTTAGCGGTGGTCTCCGGTGACCTCGGATGAAGTCCCACAGGAGTTCGATGGGAGAGCGATCTGGCCAGGGAAAAATATGAATTTCATTTGAGCTGATCAGAGTTCACCATGCGACGTGAGGTCGGGCATTGTCTTGCTGGAAAACAGTGTCGGGTGCGGCCAGCACCAGTGGCCGAACCACAGGCCTCACAATTCGTGTGACATATTAGTCTTAATCCGCTGTCAGAGTACCGGAAAGGTGCACCAGGGCTGTCCGCTGATCGAACATAATGTCTCCCCAATCATGATGTCCGGTGTTTGGTCGGTTTGAAGCCAGGCGAAAAGGGCTGGTACCGCCACACCAGTCATTCCTCCACAGACAGAAGCGGGGTTCATCCGTAAACAATACCCGATGCCATTTAGTAGTTCAGTTGCGATGATGACGACGACACCACGCAATGTGTGCAGCGTGTCGAGCAAATAAATTAATGGTGGCATCTCTGTTGCTGGTTGCCGTGCGTGTAGCCAGTCTTCATGCAACCAGCTGTTAATAATTTCGGTGGACACAGATGCACTTATTCACGGTGACAGGCGACTTCGGATGCCACGTACCGTGGCGAACGGGTCCCGACGAGCCGTTCGGCCGGTCTGTGCGTTCTGTCGTTCGATCCACTTCCTCTTTGTCGTGTTTGCAGATGTTCCTGCGTTCATCGTGTCACAGGATCAACAATTTTTTATAAGGGTTTTTAAAAAAAATTGTAATAACAAGTAAAATCTTCATTAAATTGTCCGAGTTGTTAAACCACCGTTCTAGAAATTCAGATTCTAATTCGGGTAGAATTCTCTAAAACTTTCAAGAATGGTTAGCCTATATATATCAGCATCCATCCCACGCTACTCGGGCCCGACCATCGCGGGAAAGGCTAAATTCGTGAATATGCAGTAGCGGATTACCCAATAGGCGCATTAAGCACGTGCCTGGGCCTTTTCGCCTCGAGGAACCTCAAAAATTACATAGCAAACAGATAATGCCTCTAAAAATTTAGTGAACGTTTGAAAAGCTTTATAAAACCACTCTTTATTATTAATGAATTTTATAGACTTTTTCAAGTAAAAAAAAAATGAAACACTTTTACATAAAGGGCCTTATAAGAAAATTGTGCCTCGGGCTTCAAAGCAACATAATCCTGTTTGTGATTGAGCCTGTTATAAAGGTTCTTTTAATGTTTTCAGAGAGATGAATTTGAAAAAATTAAATAATAAAACAATTTACTATTTGATATAATTCACTAAGATAACCAAATATAAAACAATAAATCAAAATGATCATAAAATAAATATAACAAAAATCATTTCAAATGATATTCTCAAAATATTTCATATAAATTTCACACTTTATTTCCAAATAATATTTAGTTTTCAGATAATTTAACATAATATTAAATTGTATAAAACGAAATATACTCACGAAATAACTTACATTCTTCAGGAAACACCAAGAGATAATTGATAAGAAGAATGATGTACATCCCAATATTAATGCAGACAACGATACAACAGGGGCAATTGACAATGGGAAAACTATTTTCCAATAAAGATAATCTATATCTTCATTACTCAATTCATATTCCTAAGGAAGAAAAACACAATTAACCCATAAACTGTCAGAATACATTTGTATTTATTAACTAGCAGGTGGGCCCGGCGTTGCTCGGGCAAAAGTAACGATAACTAAGATAAAGATTATTACGTTACAGTCAACCTTACCCGTTTTCACAGAATGCAAGAATTGGGTCCCCTTGTTTCCAGACTAATTAGAGAATTTTTAGATGGGTCTAAAAATATGTTCGATTTCCCGCAAAAACGAAAAAAACTGCATCTGCGTCTTGCACGTCGCTTTCTCTTAACAATTCCATTGTTACGTAGCATTTCCATTGTTGACACTTCCATTGTTACTTAANGTTACAGTCAACCTTACCCGTTTTCACAGAATGCAAGAATTGGGTCTCCCCGTTTCCAGACTAATTAGAGAATTTTTAGACGGGTCTAAAAATATGTTCGATTCCCGCAAAAACGAAAAAAATGCATCCGCGTCTCGCGCGTCGCTTTCTCTTAACAATTCCATTGTTACTTGACACTTCCATCGTTGATGGAAGTGTTAATCCTTAATCCTGCCCCTCTCCCCCGTGGGGGGGAATTTCGAAAAATCCCTTTTTAGTGTGCGTTTTCGTGACGTACCCTATCTGTGTACCAAATTTCAACTTTCAACTCCTAACCGTTTGGGCTCTGCGCTGATTATTATTATTATTATCAACCCGTCTCGATTATATATTAGATTTTAAGTCTGCTTATTAGTTTTTTTTAATTTTTGCTTAAAGTGACATGTCACAGATTGTTAATAGATCGAAAAGGCCATTCTCGTTAGCAGGACTTATTACTGTATCCTTATTTTAGATAGTGTTCGAGCGTATCCCAACTCTATGTGAATTGGTTATGGCTCGTGTCTGTAAAAAGCTCGAAACAAACCCGTGCAAGTATCAGTCCAAATCCCACTCTTTACAGACAGAGATAAAGAAATTCATCTAAAATCCAAATTTTTAACATTAAATTGAGTCTCTACGCAACAATAAAATTTTCCTGTTGTTGAGAGAGGATTCTATTGTTAACTCGTGTGATTATTTATTGCGAGTGCTTTCTTGAGTTTTGCTTCATTTGCAGCGATTGTAAAAGTAAGTTTAGACTACGATCTTTCTAGATTTAAATACTTTTTAACTTTGATAAACGAAATATCACAATTAGTGGCGGTGGTTTTCAATAAGAATCGACCGGTTTCCTTCAGAGGAATCGGATCTTTTCATTGTTAATTTTCCAATTGAATTGTTAAAGCAAAATGAAAATTAATAAATAGTCCACTTTAAATTTGTTATTCCCTGTTATAGTTTATATATTACATACGTATATACATTAATATCCGCCTGAATCTTAATTAAGTAGAATAATTGGAGTTCATTCGTCGTCTCGTTTCCTTTATTTTTACGGATGTTTTCTGTTAAGGCAGTCAACAGAATAGTACAATAGTACCCGGCGTTAAACGGGTGGTCGTCCTAACTCCGGACGACAGCGCCTCGTCTCTTGTCCAATATCTGGAGCGGCGATATCCCGAAGTTCCGGAATGGACGGTTGAGACACGGTCACGCGAGACGGGAATATGGAATTTTCTAGTAAAAAAATCGCACGAAAAGTAAAATTGAGCGGCTCAGCAGAACAATGGTGTGTCCCTAGTATATTAATAACTTTCGTAATATTAAATTTGCGGGTCTATAAAGTATCCCTCGCAGTAATTGTTACACCCGGCGTTATTAATCGTAAATTTCAAAAATTATGTGGTAAAACCCATTTTAAGAACTTTATCAGAATGCCTGTAAACTACATGGGAAGTCCTCGTAAATAGAGTTTATAGAGAAATTTAGAATTAGTTTGGTTTATTTGATTACCGCAACGCGATACGTGAGCGATCATCCGAGGAGGATGCATCTCAGGAGAACTTTTGTGGGAAACTGGCCCCTATTTAGGTGTTATAACGCGAAGAAAACCCAGAAAACTCCACATAGCCAGTCCGTTGGAAATGTACAAACCCAGGACCGACTACCTGTGTTCGGTGGTTTTATTCATTCGGTTACTGGAGGGTACCTATTGGGCTGCAATTTGAAAAAATTGTAGAGCTATAAATTCCCACTGTCGTCCTCCTGTCTCTGTCCTTCCTTAATCCCGAGAACGAAATTAAATAGATGAAAATCAAGACCAAACATAGAAATCGTAAGAGAAAGAGGATAAGATTAATTATATATGAACTTCCGATTGTATTGGCCTTATTGCTAACAGGAAAAGTATGATGTGCAGGGGTAAAACACTACTACACTCCACGCAAGTGCTATGACAGCAATGGCGTAATGGCTCCTTAATTCGCTCTATATCATTGTCGCAGTAATTCGGTGTATATTTTTATAAAATTATATCCTTTTTTGTAAGAATTATATTTAGTTAATTATTTTGTTAAATTTTTTCTAATAGATGACACTACGTGTAAAGTCAACAATCGAATGTAGACAGAAATTAATCGATATATAACAATCCAATTGATAATTTGGGGTGTAATCTACGACATTATCCAAGTTAGAAGTATTTGAACGTAATTGCCGAGTTTCATAGCAATTGGTCAAACGACCTAGGAGTGTATAGCGAACAAACAAATAAACATTCTCATTTATATATATAGATAATTGACTAAATTAAACTTATAGTTTAGGAAGTTTAGATCCAGTAATGCTTTAAATGCATATAAATATTTAATTAGAATATATTGAAGTACAGTATATCTATAATTTGTTATTAGGTAGTGAGTTTTACTTATTCCTAATGGATATTCAATATATTATAACTTATACAGTACCATGTAAATTGCACAAGCTTCTATGAATACAATATATTAAATATTATATATAAACAATTTTACCTGGCTGATCCAAAATACTGGTAAAACCATATCAGAAATGGATGCCAGCAATCTGAAAGAATATATTATAAATATGATAGTATTCTACAATATATTTAACTTAAAATTACTTACTCTAAATTTTCCGATTTCCTAACATCAGCATTAATTTGCAATTTACGCACTCCTTTAACTACTGTTCCAGTCACCTATTAATATAATTCATTTCATTAATTAGATAATAAACAGTAGAAATTTCGTAGTAATTAAGCATTTCATCACAAATAAATTCAAACAATTTTAAAATACTTCAAGCATGCAAAAACTTCATAAATAAAATTAATTGTTATTAATATACTGAACTTAAATTACTTACTGGATCGATATCAAAAAAACTTTCATGCTGATCTTTATTTGGCCGAAGACCCCTTACTTCTTTCAAAAGACTAGAATCCCCCTGATAGAAATGAGGTGCAGAAGCTACAATCGGGACATCTAAAAATATAATAATAATTCATTGAAGCCATTTCACTTCATATTTAACGATTTTTTAAATTCTGCTCTTCATCGCAGTCGCAAGCTGCAGTCTGTTTTCTGCCAATTCTTTTCAGGTACTCATTACTGTTGCAATGTCCAGAATATAAATTTCTGCTTATAAAGTCAATTGAAAGCCATCATAAATCTTTTATTCGTTCTTCAATACTTAGCAGGAGCCAAAATGTATGTCGTCCATTATTAGCGTTATACCATCCATCTTGCAACTCTTTATTTGTTTCATTCCTTATTAGATTTTTTATGCTTACAATTGAAATTTTTCTGTATCTACTTTGTTGTTTTACACACTGCGGTACCACTAATAGATCTTTAAACGTTTACCTGAACTATTCTTAACATTCTATCTTTAGAACTCTGTATGTTACTGTTTGCAATAGTCCATCTTCTTCACCTTTTGTATCAGTGGGAATTGTCATTAACTTCTCTCAGATTTTCTCTTTTACAATACCTCAGATGACAGTCTCGTTTGGTAGTTTCAGATTTTGCTTAAACTAAACTATTTTCTTTACCAGCTTACACCCACCAAGCTAATATTTTAATTTTGCTTCTATAACGTTCGTTACTAAAGTGTTCATATAAAAAAGAAATTTGATTTTAAAAGAGAAAACGAAAGACTTAGGCTAAAATAAACCTAGGCGTTTCCAAAGTCGAGATCAAAGAACTCCCAAAACTTCAACGAAAAAGCATTTAACGGTGTGAAAGTGGCAGGGGTGGGATTCGAACCCACGACTCCGAAGAGACTGGTACCTGAAACCAGCGCCTTAGACCTCTCGGCCACCCTACCGACTCGTTGTAAGTGTGTTCCGGTTTCGTTCTTTAAACAGACTCGTGTAATAGCCAAATACTGCGTTGTGCACTGATATAACCTTTCATCTATAACTGTCGGACTTTTTTTTCGCTTGCAGCGACTAGAGCAGTCAACTAATCGTTCGTCTTCTCCTGACTTCAATTCCAATAGCGACTTTCTTTGAGATAAATTCCACACACCAGATAAGAGTGAATACTGATGCGAACGTTTTGTTTTCAATGAAAGCTTTCGTCGTTTCTTGCTTAGGTTTTGAGCCAAATTTTACACGTGACTACAACGTTTATCCGCGCTAAAATTCAAGCGATTTTCCACTAAAAGTTTTTTCACATTCTGCGAACTCCTAATATGTGTTTCGGTTGTTTTTTTTTTTTGTGCGTGTTTACTAGACGGTACATATGGTCTCACAAGACCAGACAACTTTCAGTTTGGCTGGGCATCCGTTGAAAAATCGAATTACGAAATTGAAAACCTAGAAAATAACGATTTACAAAGATTGATGGCGTGTTTCTGATGGAAACCCCATCTTTTTTCGGGTGGTGTTTGCGAACGCAATCGGCCTCCTGCGAGTAGAAGTATTAGTTTACAGAGTAGCACGAAACAAAGCGGAGGCCATATAGTCGCAGGGAATTAATTACTCGTAGTCAATTTCTGTGGCAAAGGCGCGGCTACTATAGGAGAACTGTATCCCTTGTTTTCTCGAAGTGTCAGTCAACATGAACAGTTAAAATTTTGGTAATGACTAAAACAGTCGGTAGGGTGGCCGAGCGGTCTAAGACGCTGGTTTAAGGTACCAGTCTCTTCCGAGGCGTGGGTTCGGATCCCACCCCTGCCAGTTAATGCGTTCTTTTACGTCTAGTTTTGCGTCGATGTATGCAAATCATTTCGTCGCTTTTTGTCGATTCGTACAAAAATGAACGAACGAAGAACGATGACATTGTTACGTTTGCACAGTGCGTTTATTGCAATCGATACGTGCATCGACACTACATTCTAATCGCGCTTAGAGATCTAAGGTTATCGGAAAGATTTCTGAAGCGAATGTAAGTTTTGCACGTTACGGTGGAAACTGAAATAAAAGAAATGTTTGCAGACAAACTGTTTCTGCACACTTTGCATCAGCATTTGTTATGTATGACCGTAAAAAGCGTTAACATTTTAGTACAAATAAGGTGGAGGGTAAAAAGAAAGCTTTGAGTGTTAAGAATGCGCAAAAAATCGCGTTGGTAGGGATGGAATTCGAACCCACCTCCGAATAGACTGGTACCTAAAATCACCACCTTAGACCGCTCGATCATTTTCGACAACTGCCACATCAATTAAGAAGTCAAGAAGATTTCGATCTTTTTCCTAAAACCCGGTGCGTGCTCTCGACGGCAGACAACAGCCAACGTGAGGCTAAACGGACCAACGATACTAAATCACCTCAGCTGACATTTCTTTTCATTAGATAGTCACCATTTCCCCTATTCGAGAATCAGGGTTATCCTTGTTTTACTATCGCACCACAAGGAGAACGTTTCCTTTATTTAACTTTCAGAAAATTAAGACATCAGCTTACTACTCTGGTATAATCATGGTTGAATCCGAGCGAGCAACGAATTTTTCATGGGCAAACCGTCTCTGATATGTCGGGCCCCGTCTTTTATCATACGTTGACCCCATTAAGGGCCTGACCAAATCCATGAGAGATATGAAAAAAGGGACCTCTTAGCGTCCACAAGATAGACAAAAATAAAAAAATATACATTGGTGAGTAGAAGAATGGAAAAACGTAGTTAAAAAGTCATCGTTAGAAAGAATTCATAAAGAGAACAATATTAAATGACTACTACTGGCAGCAAGAATGCATTTATTCTAATAAATGGGTTTGATGACAGGAATTGATAGTGTAAGCCGTTTATAGTCATTGCAAGTTCTTTTATTTAATAAACTCACAACTGGTATATAAATTGTTTATTGTTGAATATTTATCTTTGTATAATATGATTTATTATACCGTTTGTATAATGTCATATTAAACTTTTATCATTACGATAAAACTGAAAAATAATAAAAATGAAATTGTAGTCACCCATATAACAAGGACCAACTGGAGTAATTCCTCCGACATCGCAGGATTTGAGGACAGAACAAAAACATTTATTATCTTCATTGATTGTAGCAGCACTATATAGTCGATCGGGTATTATAAATCTGTAAACTGGTAGTTTACGGATGAAAAAATCTTTCTCGTACTCAAAATATAATGATCTAAAATAATCATAAACCATTTTATAATATTCGACGATAATAAAATTTATTAAATATTAATTATCAAATGTATTTTACCGACAAATTTCTTTGATAAAAACGTATAATGTTTCAGTTTTCTTTAAAAATGGAGGAAATTGAAGACCATCTGAAAAAGTAAAAGATAATAAAATTAGAAATATACAAAAGTATTTATAATTTATTATACTTTTGACGATAGACTTTAAAATATATACAGTAGAACCTCGATTATCCGGACTAATTGGGGATGAAGGTAGTCCGGATAAGAAAAAATCCGGATAATCGAAACAAATACTTTAATTTGTCTTTTAATGATAATACAACACGTTTTCTTTTCGATGACATATCGGTAATATTAAAAATAAATACTGTATTTAAATCGTGTTCAAATTTTCAAGAAACAAACGTTCGTATTGAATTTGGACTACTACTGACCAACGCTAACAGACTACCTATTGTTTAAAAGGCCCTCTG